CACACATGCCGTTCAACAGGATCGCAGCACTGCCACAGGAGCCAGGCGGGCATGCACTAGCGAATCGAAATGCGAGACTAAATCCTTCGATCGCCATGCGTGCTAAGAACAACTGCAGGCGTGGTAAATTCTATATCTTGGACGCTGCCCACTTAACAAGGTACAGTTCGACCCCAGTCTCCGACGTTTTTCGACGGGCCATATAAATGGGGCCCAATTTGGGGACGTACGACGGGGGGGCGTTCATCCTCGATAAGGGTGCGTCCGAATAGCCACCTCGGGGTGCATCCCCGAGTCCCCCTCCTTTCTTAACGATCAGTGCTCGGGATGGACTCGGAGATTGGGGACGAGAGAGACGACCTGCTACACCACGCCAAACAAAGCGCTGCACCACATGCAAGCAACGGACGCGCTGGTGCGATGGCCTTGACACCGCGGGTGCGCCAGCTGCGTTAGGCTGAAGATGTAGCTATGCGCCCTGGCTCCACTCAGCGGCACGCCGAGACAAGTGAAAACTGGACGCCGAAAACAAGGGGAAGCGAGGAAGACGGTGAAGACATAGTGATGGCCTAGACTCGAGCCACCAGGACAGGAAAAGGCCGCGCCTAGGCGGCGCATCGGCAAATGATTCGGCAACTCGTAGTGTACATTTGCGGTGGCGTGCAGGCGCATGCAAGTGAACAGCTGCGCGGTGCCTCGGAGAGGTCGTTGTATTGTTTGTACCAACGAAGTGCGAGGGAAACCTGCGCGGCGATCTGGAGGAGGCTGAGGGAGGGAGGGAGGGAGGGAGGAAGGGAGGAAGGGAGGGAGGGAGCCCGGAAACGATACAACATTAAATTAAGTAAACAAGATATCACGAGCCACCAAGATATCAATTATCTTGGCGAAGGACCCAACCATATGCAGTTGTGGGTACCGCAATTGTGAACATCTTCTTGGGTGAAACTCCCTATGGGGCCACGAAGCGCTGCACTGGGTGGGGGGGAACGCTGTTCTGGGTGAGTGGTGTGTCAAGTAAGGTTTCCGGGACGCATGCGGACGGTCCCACTGGGGGCTTCGGTGGAGCTCCCTATGGGGACACGAAGCGCTGTACTGGGTAAGTGAAAATGCCAAATTGGGCTTCCGGGACGCATGCGGATGGTCCCACTGGAGGCTTCGGTGGCAATCCCTATGGGGCCACGAAACGCTGTACTGGGTGGGTGAAAATGCCAAATTGGGCTTCCGGGACGCATGCGGACGGTCCCACTGGGGGCTTCGGTGGAGCTCACTAAGGGGCCACGAAACGCTGTATTGGGGGGAAAAATCCACGTTGGGTTTTCGGGACGCATGCGGACGGTGGCACTGGGGCCTTCGGTGGAGTTCCCTACGGTGCCACGAAATTCTGGACTGGGTGGGTGAAAATACCACAATCGGTATTTGGGGTCGCTTGCGAACGGTCCCACTGGGGCCTTCGGTGGAGCTCCCTGTGGGGCCACGAAACGCTGCACTGGGTGGGTGAAAATGCCACGTTGGGTGTGCGGGACGCATGCGGACGGTGGCACTGGGGCCTTCGGTGGAGCTCCCTGTGGGGCCACGAAACGCTGTAATGGGTGGGTGAAAATGCCAAATTGGGTGTTTCAGGACGCACTCGGACGGTCCAACTGGGGCCTTCGGTGGAGCTCCCTATGTGGCCACGAAACGTTGTACTGAGTGGGGGGGACGCATGTGGACGGTCCCACTGGAGGCTTCGGTGGCAATCCCTATGGGGCCACGAAACGCTGTACTGAGTGGGGGGGACGCATGTGGACGGTGGCACTGGGGCCTTCGGTGGAGCCTTATGGGGCCACGAAACGCTGTACTGAGTGGGGGGACGCATGTGGACGGTGGCACTGGGGCCTTCGGTGGAGCTCCCTATGGGGCCACGAAACGCTGTACTGAGTGGGAGGGGCGCATGTGGACGGTGGCACTGGGGCCTTCGGTGGAGCTCCTTATGGGGCCACGAAACGCTGTACTGAGTGGGGGGACGCATGTGGACGGTGGCACTGGGGCCTTCGGTGGAGCTCCCTATGGGGCCACGAAGCGCTGTACTGAGTGGGAGGGGCGCATGTGGACGGTGGCACTGGGGCCTTCGGTGGAGCTCCGTATGGGGCCACGAAGCGCTGTACTGAGTGGGGGGTGGTGTCGGGACGTTCAGGTGAGCACTTGAGGTCCAGAGTGAGGACTCTTTTGGGAGGCTCCTTTGGGGCCCTCTTGGAAGCTCCTTTGGGCCTTCCGGGGCCCTCTTGGGTCGTCTCGGGATGCTGGTGGGCCCCTCAAGGCCGCCTTGGGTGTCCCTGCAGGGGCCCTCCTGGGCCGTCTTGGGACCCTCTTGGGCCCTTTTTGCGGCTCTTCTGGGGCTGTCTGGGATTACTGGACAACCATGCGATGGAGCAGATGGACTCGCGGGGCACTCCCCGCCCGTACTTGATGCTACCACTGTTCGAGAAAGATTGTGTCCAGGGGCACGCCCGTTTTGACAAGGAACCCGCCCTCCATGTTTATAGACATGTTGACCTGTTTAACGTATGGCAGCAATGTCAGCAATACTGAGAATCTATTCCTGTTTTCAAGAAGGATCGCTGTCCACTTGTGTAAGTATATATTCAGATGGCCTAAAGCCTATCCCACCACCTTGCCTGTGCTGCGGTTCAGAGGTCCAGGATCAGCGAGGAGGGGGAGGAGGAGGAGGAGGAGGAGGAGGAGGAGGAGGAGGGCTCCGAGGGGCCTCTCGGTGGTAGTTCGAAGGCCTAACTGGAGCCTCATGGGGGGCCATTTTGGAGCCTCGGGGGGGCCTCTCGTAGGGTCTTGGGGCCTCCTGGAGCCTCATGTCCGTTCGGGTCTCCCTTTGGGCCCCCTTTTGGGGTCGTCTTGGAGGCCTCTAGGGCTGTCCTGACGCCTTCCTGAGCCGTTGTAGGGCTTTCTTGGAGGCCTCTTGGGCCGTTTTCGAGTGACACTGCATGTTCATGGGCCGTCTGGGAGCGTCGGGAAGTCGAAAAGGCGAGGACGCCCAAATCTGTGAAACACCTGAGCAGAATCTCCAGATTTTGCCTCTAGGGCCCTCTTGGGAGTGCTCGCGGCTGCCTCCCGCGGCGTCTTGACCTTCCACATAGCGGCGCAAATGTCACCGACGGTAAGATATGGGCCGAGCTGTTGCCTTGAAGCCAAGTCGCAAAATCGTGGCAAACCTGAACTCTACAATTGCCCCCATCCCCCCCCCTTCCTCCAGGGCGTCTCAGGTGCCTGGGGCGGCCTGGAGGGCATCGTAGCCAGCCTTGGGGCCGTCTGGGCCCCTCTCGGGGCTGGACCCTCGTGGGTGCTTCTGGCGAATTCTTGAACCTGTTTCGGGTCGCTTTGGACGGGGTCGCCGTCCCGGGGGTCCACGCGGAGCACCCTGGGCGCGCCCACTACCGCGTAGGAGCGCCTGGGGGACCAGGATTCCGGGCCTTCCAGAACCTTTTAGAAAAGCCCACTACGTCTCAGCGCTGTATAAGCCCTGGGGCATTCCACCAACGCGCTGAGGGCACGGAGGCGGATAACTTCACCTGCCTGGTCATCCATTTCGGAGAAGTCTTACGCGGCATCCCCATTCTGAAAAGGAGCCGCCCTCCACCCTTGTGAGTCTTGGAGACGTTTGAAACGACTTTGCGCGGAGCTGGGGCGAGAACAACGTGTTGACAACTCGTTGCCCGCCATCCCTGCGGAGGCTGGGGGATTTGAATGCGGATGTTCGCGGCGTTGAGACGGGGGCCACATCTCGAAGACAGCCCGCATCCCATGTTTATGATCCTTGAGCACTTCGAAGACAAACATGTGCGTCGCTGAGGTGTGAGCCACAGTTTGGCAACCACTCGCCCTCCATTATGGTATCTTTTGGGAATTGTGAGATTCAGGGTTCCAAGCGGCGAGGGGGTTCTCAGGCAAACACACCCAGCCCGAGAAGGAGGAGGAGGAGGTGGAGGAGGAGGAGGAGGAGCAGGCATTCCCGATATATCGACGAGGAGAAGCTTGCCCTGTTGCAAGCAAGGTGGATGGTGGAGGTGGAAAACAGAAGGAGCCTACGGTCGGACCGAGGTGTAAGATCGAGGCTCGCTTGGGGAGGGTACCCTGGTGGTCTTCGTGCTTGTTGGATGTTCCTGTGCGTCCTGGGGAAGGTACCCTTGGACGTTCTGTGCGTTCTGGCCGGCGGAGGGTCTCGTGTTTTTGAGGGATGTTTTTCTACCTTAGGCCGACTGTCTGTTGGCTCGGGGGATCACCCGTCGAGTCCTCCCCGCACCGGGACGATGGATCAGGACTCCGCCCGCCGAGCCCCTCCGGCACCAGAGGGGTGGACTGTGGGGGGGTCGCCCGCCGAATGCTCCCCGCACTCGAACGTTGGACTGGGGAAGAGAGGGAGTACAGAAGAAATCGATGGCAAAGATGGTTGACCTTCCCAAGAATGCCCTTGCATCCTTGCCTTTTCGGGGCATCTCGAACTCCTTTCGATGACCAGCCCCGCTCGAAAAGCTTCGACGTGGGCGTCCAAGGAGCTTGCATCCGTATCGCGCATTATGACCATCAGTTTTGACTGTATTCACCGAGCGTGTTCCACTACTCGCAAAGTGCTTACTCGTAAACATCAAGAAACAGGTCTGCATCGATGTAATTTATCGTAAACCTCCACGGCGGATCCATGCCATTTGCCAGTAGTGACTTTGCGAGTAGCGGAACGCGCTTGTCTATGTAAGGCAGGGTCGCGTCGTGTCGACCGGCGGCGACCCCGCCGCCGGCGTGCAACGTTGAACGCCGCCAGCGGTCCAGAACCAGATGACGTCTCGGAAGGGGCCAGTCGTTCAAGGTTGAATGATCCCCGCGGTGAGAGAAATTCTCGCCGAAATCGGCTCGACGCTACCCTGCCGTAGCGGGAAGCATTGAACGGAGGAGGGGATTTCCACCGCTACTCTGCTGCCAGGGCCCTGCGCGCCCGTCCGCGGGGGCCGCCCGAGGCGCTTGTGAAGGCCGAGCGCGCCGACGCCCGGAAGGAACCCGCGGCGGGCCGCCCGCCCGCCCGCGCCGTCCTGGCCCCGTGCGTGCTCGGAGGGAGGCGTCTGTGTGCCTGTGCGTGTGCGCATGTGTGTGTGTGTGTGTCCTTGCATTATTTCCCAGCTTTGTTGTCAACTCACTCTCTATGGTATTGAAGCCTGCACAGCAGGCCAGCATCGCTATGCCCGCCAGCGCCTACACCAGCACCATCAACACCAGCCGCCGCCAGCATTTGTATATCCCTCTCTCTTTTGTCCAGCAGTGCATAATTTGTCGTCAGTTTATTCTGCTTGCAGCAGCATCTCTTAGAGGACACAATGAAGTCTCGGGACCACGGTATGCAGGCGACGCTCAGTTACCGTGCCCTGATCGCCCTCTGGTAAAACAAATTGTATATTGAACTGGCTTGTCGGCCGCCCCGATGTCTTGGGGTTGATGTCTTTGGATTTCGTTTAAAGCCGATTGGGAATATGTGCTCATCACGATGTGTTTGCGATGGTGTGGAGTCCCGACGACGTGCCAGGTTGTACCGCTCTCGCAATATTCACAACCTACTCGTAGTTCGATTTCTACTAACATGTGCTACCATGCTTCAGCCCTGCACCGCGGGGACACCCTCTACGTCCATCGCAGTGTTGGTGGATGCAAGCTTGCGAACCTCTATGTCCTCCAAGTCTACGCGCTCTCATATGCTTTTAAGACGTTAGTCGAACCCGCTCTGGAACAGCAGATTCTGATCCTCCCGGACTGGGTTCGACATCTCACTGTTTCCCGCAGCTTCAGAGGCAAGGATATTCATCGCGCCCGTACGACGGATATTGTGGATCGGCTCATCATGGCAACTTTATGGCAGGTTTCGTGTTCACAGCCGTCCACATATTATCTTTCCTTTTGGGGGCATCTCATCCAACAGTTCTCTGATCGATTTGCAGGAAATAATTGTGTTTCAACCGTGCACTTCTCAGCAATGTATGTGGCACTATTGGTTACGCACAAGGTTACCTACATCCGACATCTCAAGACTCAGGGGCGACGGGCCCGACGGACAGCAAGTCATATTTGTCTCCCCTTAGATGTTGATGCACAGCGAGCTTTCTCGAGACCTCATGGGGCCACCTTCCTCGATGTTCTGGCTTTGCGATTTTTCCTACAAGTACAAGTATCATGTATCATGGGTTCATCGTTTCGTTCCTCGGGAGCTGCGTCGTTCGTGCACGAAATTGGCACTCGCGCACGATGCATCGGTCAAGGTAACATTCGGCATACTACGGGGACACACAGCGGGGCCATGGCTAGAACTCGGGAGCACTACAAAGCCTTAAGAACATGTAAGTTGGATAAGCCATTCACCGATCGAGCACGTTGTGTATCATTATTTGTTTCTCATCACGCACGTGCCATATCCATCATGTGCATGGCCGTTATGCCCGCGCGCATGGCGACGGCGATTGAGGCGGCGTTTATCACATTTGCTTGTCCAGAGGCAAATATCATTGCGAAGGGTTGCGGCGACTCCGTCATCAAAGAGCCAATAACAGGGCGTTCCCGGCAAAAACGGAGCACAAATCCCAGGGGCCGAAAAATCGCCAGGATCTTCGACTTCACCTTCCTCGGACTCCGGACACTATGGAAATGCATGAGGTTTGGCTCCGAGCATGATTTAAAGCTCTTCGTAATTTCCAGGAGAGACACACCCGAAAACGTGAGCGCGTTCGGGAATGGAGCGCAATATTGCGTGGACATGTTAACAGTGTGTGCGACTTTTTGCTTTGACGTCATCTTGCCAGGTTTTACTCATTTGGATTATTGTATTTGTATGACCCCATCACTGCGATTCTGTTAATTGGTTTCTGTGCGTGGAAGTCTCATGAGGTGATATGGCAGCATGCCATTCGTGCCGAGCGGCGCGCTTCTGACTATCTGTATGCGCTATGGGGGCTGTGCACGGTCTTTCCTTTTTGGCATGAGAAAGCTGTTGTTCAGGCATCGCTTGCCACGCAGATGGAGATGATGGGTTTGCCTCGTCCAGGTGGCGTTGCGATCGTGCTGGGTCGCGAGACTGATCTCGAGCTTGCGCAAGACAACGGGTCAACCTTGTCCTCCGCCGCACCGCCCTCGCCCGGCCCGCCTGGGCTCGACGCGTGTCCGTATATCCTTGGAATCAGAGCAGACTATGAAAAAAAAAAAAACAATGCCAGTCCATCGCCCAGGACTTGGAAGAGCAGAACATCGATTTCCTGGACAAGATTAACATGGAGGATTTGAGGATATCAGCAGAAGGAGAATATCCGTTTCGGTTACCAGTCTGTGGACGTCTTCCCTGGGTTCCTGAAGTGTGCCAGGGCGTCTCTTCCAGTTGTATATCCAGGTGCTCGGCCTGGCTTCGACGTTCTGCAGTCGACCCAGGCTTCCTGCGAGCTCTCTTGATCACCCTGGCGGCGCCGTGCGACTACGGGGCTTCTTCCCTTCGGATGACGACGGGGCCAAGGCGGGCGCCCTGCCGTCTCTGCAGGAGTTTAGAGACAACGTGTGGCATCATTAGTTACACGGTGGAGGATAAGGACCCTCGGGCACTTTGGGGAGACAGTATTGCCCGCGTGCAGTGTCGCTGGCTCGGTCTACTCTCCCATGCCCATAGCCGCTGGCTGCTAAATGCCCCCCCCCCCCCCCCACCCACACCCCCCACGCCACCCCTGTCTCACATCCTCCAGCGGCGCCGTCTAGCGCGCGACTTCAGCGCCCCCAGAAGTCCCAGGCCACCTGCGCAGAGAACTATAGGTATGCAAAACCGACCGTACTGTGACCCTACAGTAAAACGGGAATTATTCGAGGTCCGTTTGGCCCATAAATGCGCCAAGACGGGGCACTCATGTACTCGAACTATATGCAGCTTTTTCAAACTTCCAGGGCGACAGCTATACCGACGGATTTCCAGAGGTGTTACTTATCTTACCAGTGTTATTTTTCCTGGATGGGCTTTTCGCGGACTCGATACTGCCTTTGATGATCTAGACGTTGCTGTTGGCCTTCTCGCGCCCCCACATTGCCTCCCCGGGGCGCAGCGGGCCGCGCGCGTACGTTGCCGTGCATGCGTGGGCTTCCCAGGGCTCACCGTGTCCGACGCTGGCCAGGCATGTGGAGCGCTGGGGTCCAAGTCCATTCGCGTTGCGGTCGTCTCCCAGTCTCTCTCTCTCTCTCTCTCTCTCTCTCTCTCTCTCTCTCTCTCTCTCTCTCTCTCTCTCTCTCTCTCTCTCTCTCTCTCTCTCTCTCTCTCTCTCTCTCTCTCTCTCTCTCTCTCTCTCTCTCTCTCTCTCTCTCTCTCTCTCTTTCTCTTTTTTTTTTCCAGCAGCCCCGGGCTCGGCTCAAGACGCGGGCGCTCTCGGTTCTGCGCGCCGCATCGGCCCAGATCGTGCTCGGGGGAAGGATTGGCGTGCGCCACTGGGATCGCACAGTGTTCTTGTTCAGTAGCTTTAAGCGTGCGGTTGAAGGGTTCCTCGTCTTTCGTTTCGTCTTCTCTGGCGCGGCTCTCGCCCAGTTATCAGGTATTCCTATAGGCGGGCCGCTGTCGAGGGCCATCCTCCACCTCGCCCTCTCCCACTTCGAGTGCAAATGCGATCAGCGCCCTCTACCTAGGCCTACTACTACACGACGTGCGCTTGAGGTGGCAGCGGGTAAATCTGTGGGCGACACCATCTTGTTATCATATCGCGTTCGTCGTTCATGTTTATGGAAGCAGATGTATTGCACCTACGCAACGATTTGTTTTTGAACTGGATAGCACATTTCAGCAGATTGGGTCAAGCGTTTTTTTTTTTTTTTTTTTTTTTTTTTTTTTTTTTTTTTTTTTTTTTTTTTTTTTTTTTTTTTTTTTTTTTTTTTTTTTTTTTTTTTTTTTCATACTTGGACGCTCTTGTGGTTTGGGGCTTGGACGGGGTCAGGTATAATCCACAGCACAACAATGAATACTATGTATTCAGCGGTGATATCTCTAGACTTAAAAAACAAAATGCCCCGCCCTACCTCGGGCATGTTACCCGTCGTGAGCTGGGGCATCTACGATCTGAACTTAAAAGGGCGTCTTCATTGTTGGGGTGCGCTTAACCCTGACATTATTGACCTGATCATTGTGTGTGCTATGGACATGGCATTCTACTATCGTATGGGATATCCTCGAGGCTGTGCTAGGAACATGTTGTATAACATCTACCCTCCAGGTGAACGCGTGGATCTGGTTTTCCTATGTTTAGATGTGGTGGGACGTACTTGCCAGCAACTTATCCCCACCTCCACAGCCATTTCGTCTCGTTTGGATCAGGTCTCTGAGTTGATTGCACGCCGCCTACGAAGTCCTCCTTTCACCTCGTCTCCCAGCTCGTCTGGCATGGGCGCTCCCAAGGGTACCGAGGGCGCCAATTCATACTACTGCAACGGCGGCTGGGAAGGAAAAGGCTATGGTGGCACGTCTTCCAATTGCGGAGGCGGTGGAGGCGGCATGGGCGGCTTTGGCAACGTGCTTGGGCAGTGGAGTGGCATGGTTGATAGCATTCGGGCCTTTGGTGAGATTGGCTGCATCAGCAGTGTCATTCGTCAAGCAGATCAGGCTACCGTTGCAGGCATCTCACCACCCACTGCCGGTGCTCACCAAGCCGTCCAAGGCGTGGCGACGAACAGCCAGCCCGCTCGTGATCTGGCTCTGGCGCATACCAGTGTGATGAGCGGGGCCCAAGGATCTGACAGCAAGCTTCAGCATGCGATCAAGAGGTTGGCGGAAGCAGCTGGCCTCGCAGCGAACTCGACAAGCGACCTGGAGGACAATCCCGTCATCGAGCGCATGCGTTCCGAGCTGGCGGCGACGCAGCCGGAGATCACAGGCCGCTCCGACCAGCTGCAGACCATCCAGACCTCGACGGCGACGACCTCCAACGGCGTGAGGGCCGTGAGAAGCATGCTGGAAGGCATGTTCAGCGGCGGCAGCGATCACGGAACAGGCCCGCATCAGTCTCAGCCTGGACATTCCGCTCGGCCCCTCCAGGCCGTGCACGCTGCGTCTGCTCTTGTCTTCCTGGCCAGCGTGAATCTTGCCCAGCATGAGTTGGCCCTCAGCTACCTGGGTATCTCCAGGAATCGCGAGGATGTCAAGTCCTACGCGACTCAGTGCCAGACGCAGGGCGCTTTTTTTTTGCTGTGCATGGCGGGCGGGGATTGGCGAGAAGAAGAGTGCCGACCAGTGGATTCGCAAGTGCAGAAGCCTGGGTGCTAAGGGTGGCTAGCTCGAGGGCAAGGACGTGCCTGGAATCGGAGCTCTCCTCTTTCAGTATTTAGACCGCGATGGAGAATGAGCCGAGTCACCACTTCAGTCAGCGCCCGTAGCTGCATGAACTAGTTCTGCTTCCACACGCTATGGACCACTGGCTGGTGGGTCACATCAGGTACCAGCACGGACTCTCGGACCCGACGAGCCTCCAGGGAAGGCCCCTTCCTCTTCCTCGTGTGAGTTACCTCCTGGCTTTGCATGTTTGCGATGTTTCTGTTCCCGCGCTCTCTCTCTCTCTCTCTCTCTCTCTCTCTCTCTCTCTCTCTCTCTCTCTCTCTCTCTCTCTCTCTCTCTCTCTTTTCTCATTTTGCCATTTCTTACACTGTGTATGCGCGCTCCTAAGTCTTTGGAGTGTGTTTCAGGCCGGCCTTCTTGTGCTTGACCTTAGGGTCTGGATCAGTAGTGTCAGTGCTAGCGTCGGCGCCGTGCCAGAGAGCATCATTCCGACCGTCGCTGGACGTTGGATTTGGACCTACTGTCTTGGCTCTCTCTTCCCAGCGATCAGTTCTTCAGATTTGTCCGCTATTGAAGATGGCGTAGCCAGCGCAGTCGATGCAGGCCAGGGGTGTGGTCTGAATGTAGTTGCAGGCCTTGGAGCCTGGCCCAGCATCATCAGCTTTGCAGGTTTTGGATTTGTGCGAGGGGCTCGCTTCGCTGTCTGTTCGTTTCTCGGCGGCGGCTTGCCCGCGATCCTTCAATGGTTCGCCTAGCCTCTCGTGCCATGGGATTTGGCCCCTCCGAAGACAGTCGTGGATTTTTGCACAGCGTGATCCGCCTGGTGGCCAGCACCTCGCGATGAGTTGTGCACATTCCCACCCGGCTTCTTTAAGGGGGGCTGTGTGTGTGTGTGCTTGCATTCTTTCTCAGCTTTGTTGTCAACTCAATCTCTATGGCATTGAAGCCTGCACAGCAGGCCAGCATCGCTATGCCCGCCAGCGCCTGCACCAGCACCATCAACACCAGCCGCCGCCGGCATTTGTATATCCCTCTCTCTCTTGTCCAGCAATGTAGATTTTATCGTCAGTTTATTCTGCCTGCAGCCGCATCTCTCAGAGGAGAGAATGAAGTCTCGGGAGCACGGTGTGCAGGCGACGCTCAGTTACCGTGCCCTGGTCGCCCTTTGTTAAAACAAACATTAGTGTATTGAGCTGGCCTGTCGGCCGCTCCGATGTCTTGGGGTTGATGTTTTGGGATTTTGTCTAAAGCCGATTGGGAATATGTGCTCATCGCGGTGTGTGTGTGTGTGTGTGTGTGTGCGCGTGTGTGTGTGTGTGTGGTGTGTGTGTGTGTCTGTGCGAGTGTGTGGTGTGTGTGTGTGTGTGTGTGTGTGGTGTGTGTGTGTGTGTGTGTGTGTGGTGTGTGTGTGTGTGTGTGCGTATGCGCGTGTGCGCGTGTGTGCGTGTTTCTCGACCCTTCGAGCGCGCGTGCGGATTTCCTCTGCTGCGCTGCCCCGCCGGTGCCGCCCCCCTCTGGTCGCGGCCGCTTGCCGCCTGGCCCGCCCGCTTGCTCGCTGCCGCCTCCGCCCCTCCGCGCCTGCTGCCCGATGCCCTGCCCCGCCGCCCCAGCCCTGCTGCCGCTCGCCCTGCCTCCGCCCGGCCTCAGCCAGCCCGGCTGCCGCTGCTGGCCCTGCCCCGTGAGGGGGGCTGGCTGCTTCACTCTTTTTCCGGCGCGCGCGCTGGCGACTGCTGTGCACGCCGCGGAGCTGCTCTTGGCCGCCAGCGCCCGAAAAGTGCGTGCGCGTGTGTGTGTGTGTGTGTGTGTGTGTGTGTGTGTGTGTGTGTGTCAGGCGAGGAAAAGGTATTGTACCGGTACCCGTACCCTTCCCTCGTTTTCGCCGTCTTGGGGCTCCTGGGAGCTTCTCGTCTCCACCGCTCTGGCCCCAGGGAGAAGTTCGGGGAGTAGCGGTATCGGTGCCCTTCGGTTTCCCCAGTGTGGGCGTGTACGATCGCCTCTCGGCGGCGAGCCCGGGGGGCAGTGAGGGGGCGCTGGCCTTCCCAGAGGGCGGCGGGGCTTCTCAGAAACTCTCTCGCCTTCTGAGAAGGAAGTTTCCTGTGTCTCCGGGGAAGGCTTAGAGAACTCATCAGGGAAAACCCGCCATTTCAGACTTCCCCCGCGTGCTCGCCGCCGGACTTCGGCTTTTCCCGCGTGCGTGCATCCTTCTGCGCTCCTTTTTGTTGCAGGTGACTCTCCCCCACCCAGTCCACCTGTCTGCTACGCCAGGTGGTAATTCGCCGGAGCGTGCCCTCGCTTAGCGCATCGCGACGGTGTCTTCCAGCCTCGGGGCGCCTTCAGCGGCCGCGCTTCGCCGAGAGCGTTCCAGTGGTGCCTGGATGGTCCCGAGCGGCCGCCAGAGAGCCTAACTATGTAGCTTTAGCTTAACTTCAGCTTAACTTTAGCTTAGCTTTAGCTTAGCTGTAGCTTAGCTGTAGCTTAGCTGTAGCTTAGCTTGAGCTTAGCTTGAGCTTAGCTTGAGCTTAGCTTGAGCTTAGCTTGAGCTTAGCTTGAGCTTAGCTTTGGCTTAGCTTTGGCTTAGGTTTAGCTTAGCTTCAGCTTAGCTTCAGCTCAGCTTCAGCTTGCTTCAGCTCAGCTTCAGCTTAGCTCTAGCTTAGCTTTAGCTTAGTTTTAGCTTAGCGTTAGCTTGGCTTTAGCTTAGCTTTAGCTTAGCTTCAGCATAGCTTCACTGTTACTACTAATGCTGCTTTCCTAGGGGCTCCAAGTCCTAGGTAGAGTCGCAGTGGGATAATCATCCGCTCCGGACGCGCACTGAAGCGCGCGCGGTGGGACCCGCTTCTTTAGACCCGCCTCGATTCGATCGATCCGATTCGATCTCCGTTGCGGCCAGTTCGATCCGATCCGACTCTGATTTTCCGGCGACCCGACTCGGCCCGACACCTTCGCGGCCCTGCCGTGGGTCATTCTGGCGCGGCCGATCCGATGCGATTTTGATCCCTGGCCGACGCGGCCCGATCGGGTACGTGCCCCGGTCCGCGCCGATTTCCCAATTCGATTCCCACGGAACCCGCTTCCTGCCGAGCGCGCCGCCCAGGGCGGCCCAGGCGGCGCCATGGCATGGCCCCGGCGCGGCGGGGCGTCCTGGCGGCCGCGATGGGGCCGCTCGGCCGCCGCGGCGGCGCAGAGTACATCGGCGACGGCGATGAGGCCTCCGGGCCGCCCGGGGCTGTCAGCCGCGTGCCGCCCCGGGCCGAGCGATGGGTGGTCGGGCGTTCTCGTCGGGCTTCGGCGGTGTGCCGGGCTCTCGGAGTACCCTCCAGCAGCTGGGCCTTGCCGCGGGCGTGCCGGGGCCGTGCGCGGGTCGTCGCGCACGGCCGACGACGAGGGATGGCCCGGCAGCCCGACGACGAGGGTCAGAAAGGGGGGAGGGCCTGCCTGCCAGGGGTCGGACGAGAGGGGGCGACTGTCAGGGGCGCCCTGGGCAACCTCTGGCAGACCGACCCCTGCCGTGACGACCCGCCCCCCCTCCCCTCCGAGGCGGGGGTTTAGCCATAGCCACCGCCTGGGGGATCGGCTTTCTTGGACCTGCACAGGCGGTGGATGTGTCTGGGCCTCCTAGATGGGGTCGGAGCCGATGGGGTCGAGGGCTCGCGCCGCATCGCCGATGCATCGCCGATGCGGCTCGATGTGGAGCCCGATTGGCTTCACGTCGACGTCGCCGATGCATCGGCGAAGCGGCACGATCCCCCGACCCCATCTACTTCGACCCCATCAAGGAGGCCTCCAATATGGATGTACTCGGGCCCCCGGGAGGGCCAGAATACGATATCCACGTCCACCGCCCGCTTGGTGCACCAGGACGCCGGTGCCCAGGCGGGGGATCTGGACATCCTTCCCCACCTCGCAAGCCCCCCCCACCCGTTCGCTCCAAGACGCGGGTGGGGGGAGTCGGCGGCCCCAGGACGCCGGTTCCCAGGCGGTGGATCTGGCTACAGTCAACCCGAATAGTAAGGATGGGCAACCGTCCCAAGGGTACCCTTGCATCCTTGCCTCCTCGGCCCATCCTTGGCCACTCTCGTTGGCCGCGCCCCGCTCGAAAAGCTTCGACGCGGCCTTCCGAGGCCCCTGCATCCTTATCGCGCGTATCCTTCCTATACGGGTCGACTGTATCCATCCGCGCCTCGCGTCCCCCCCTCCCCCCCCCTTCGCTCGAAGACGCAGGGGGGGGGGGGGGCGGCGGCTGGAGGGCCTTCGCTCCAAGACGACGAGGGGCGCGTCGCGGAGGGGGGGGACTCGCCGCGGCCAGGGGGCCCTGCCCGGCCGCGCCCGAGTTGGGGGCCAGAAGTCCGGCGGCAAGAATTCTGGGGGACCCCTCGGGGCTCAAGGGGCGGGGGTCAGTCCGCAGAGGTGGAAGAGATGCCCATACCTCTACTTTTCCCTTGTTTTCCCCTTTTTGGGGTCCTCGGAGGCCCTCGTCGCCACCGCCGGAGTCGCCTCGAAATTCCAGTCAGAACGCACCCAGGGAGAGGTCCAGGGAGTAGCGGTATCTGTACCTTTTGGTCTCCTCAAGTCAGATCGCCGGGTCTTGCATGATGCTGCAGGGCCAGGGGCGCACTGACCCGGGTCTGCGTGCAGAATCCTGTTGGAAAAGCAAAGAGAAGCTTGTTAGAGGCGGCTGGAAAAGCCAAGAAAAGCTTGTCGGATCCGGCTGGAAAAAGCACGGAACAGCTTGTCAGAGCCAATTGGAAAAGCAAGGGGAAGCTTATGGGAGCCGGCTGGAAAAGTAAGGAACAGTTTGTCGGAGCTGGCTGGAAGGTCAGAGAAAAGCTTGTCGGGGCCAATTGGAAACGAACAGGAAAGCCGCCGCTGAAAAAAAACAAGGAACAGCTTGTCGGAGCGCGCTGGACAAGCAAGGGAAAGCGTGTCGGAGCCGACTGGAAAGCGAAGAAAAGCTTGTCGGAGCTGGTTGGAAAAGCAAGGGAGAGCTTGTCGGAGCTGGCAGGATCCTGCCAGGTCCGACTGACCCGGGCTTGTATTGACCCGGGACAGGATATCCCCGAACCCGTTGCCCTCCAGGGCCCCTTCTCTTCACGCTGGTCTGCCCATGCGCCGCCCATGCGCGGCGCGGCTCTCCGCCCAGCCTGGACGACGGCGGTGGCCCGCCGTCGTGCAGGCCGGGTGGGCAAGGGGGGGGTTGCAACGTCTGCTGCGTGCAGCTCGTCGCGGCCCCGCCGCTGGGAGGCTCCCCTCGCTGAGCCAGAGCCTCCGTCGCTGGGGGGCGACGGGGGAATCAGCGGCACGCAGCGGATGCGCCAGCCCCGCCCTCCCCTCTGTTGTTCTCAGGCGATCGCAGACATGGGGCGTGGTTTAGCGACGGGTCCTGCCTCCATCGGAAATCGCAGATTTCCGCCGCCGCCCGCCGCGGCGGGTTGGGAGGCAGCCGGCGCGAGGGTTCAGACCAGCCCCAGCCTGAGGACGGCACAGCCCACCGCCACCCCCAGACACCCTCGAGTCAGGAAAAATCACCGCGGGCGGTTTTTCCCGTCCCTGTTTTCGGCCTTTGGGGGCCCTTACCGGGCCTCGGGACCCTCAATCAACGACTCAGGATGCAACACCGATCCCGGGGAAGACGTCTAAACCTCTGGGGCTCGACGTCATGAACAAATCATGACGTCGAATCGAGGGTGTGGTGGACCCCCAGGCAGGACCCCGACTCTCGACCTGGTGATCCTGTGGGTGCGGGTGGGCTTGGCGGTGGGTTACGCTATCCTCATAGACAGGGGCAACGTTAGCACTCCACGGACGACCCGTGTGCATCGTACCGCGTTGGCGTCTTCCAAGGCGTCGTCGATACAGACCCAGGAATGAGACGGTGCATAGTTTCTCGACCCTCAGAGCCGAAAGAACTGTGCATCGACCGCGTTGGAGCGGCCCAATGATGGCAGCGTGCACGAGCGCGGTTCTCGTAGTAGGGGGGGACAGGCTCAGGTGTGTGGGTGTGTGTGTGTGTGTGTGTGTATGTGTGTGCTTGCATCGACCCCCCATCGCTCATTCGTGGCTGATAAGGGCTCGACAGCCCGCCCTGTCAGGGATGTGCGGTTTTATTATCGGGGGTTCAACGCCGATCTATCGGCGATATATGGTCCTGGGCTCCAGGCCCACGGGCCCCCCCCCCCTCCCCCCCAGATGGTATGGTCCCAGCAGGAGGAGGAGGAGGAGGAGGAGGGGGAGGAGGAGGAGGAGGAGGAGGGAGGAGGAGGAGGATAGGAGGAGGAGGAGGAGGAGGAGGAGGAGGCGGAGGCGGAGGCGGAGGCGGTGGCGGATGAGGAGGAGGAGGAGGAGGAGGAGGAGGAGGAGGAGGAGGAGGAGGAGGAGGAGGAGGAGGAGGAGGAGTAGGAGGAGAAGGAGACGGAGGAGGAGGGGCTGGAGGAGGAGTAGGAGGAGGGAGGAGGAGGAGTGCGAGTCTTGGAGTGCTAGCTGACCTCTTCCATCTAGTCGATGTGATTGAAGAGGCGCTTTGTCAGATACAGCGGCTTATTTTTTCTCGTGCGGAGACCTGGCAAAGGACTGAGACCCCTTGGACACTATTGCGGGTTTGCTCGCTTGCATGGGACGTTGCATCGCGACCCATGTCGCGAGTGGGAGGAAGCTGTCTGTTTAGGCCCAGAATGTTCGAAGGGAAAGGGAAGGAGTGCGCTTGATATGGTCTGGCGTCGGAGCGTTGTAGCAGAGCAGGCGACCTGTAGTGACATGCATTACTGTACTGTGCTGTGGGATACTTTGCAGTTCTACGAGCACATCAGACATCAAGAGTTGCTGGATCAGAGTGTGCTGTCAGCTTCCCCCTTCATGTTTTAGTTTGCACTTTGTCGAGTTATCGGTGGCCGAGAGTCCTGCTGCTTGATGGGGCCTTTGGGGCTCCTCTGTGGCCGATGCGAGGGGTTGTTGCGGGCAGCACCTCCGCTACGTATGAAGCTAAATCGTTCTTACTCTCCACGACTGTGAACCATAGGGGCACGCCTAACACGAGCCAAGGATTGCATGCAGACGACCTGTTGATACATTCGTGGGGAACCAATTTGCAGCAGGTGGTTGAGCAGCTGAGGGATCTTGCTCGAAGTTTGGCAGCTGTTCTTACACATAATATCTCTTTCTCGCTTGCCGAGAAGAAGATGGTTGCGGCAGCGAATTCTACCAAGGCTCTGCAATCGATTTTGAAATGTTTGGGCCCCCCTGGGGGGAAGAGGTGAATGGGCTGCTCCGAACCTGGGGATCGCTTTCTCGGCTGGTAAGCACCAGAGTCATCCACGAGCCAGGGTTGTTAGTTGAAAACGTTTTCGGAAGTTCAGGTTCAGGACCACCACGTTGCACTTCCCAAGTGTGAAAAGGCGAGGCTGTTCAAGACAGGGATCCTGCCCACCATCTCGTTCGGCACGGAGACGCAGGGTATCACCCCGAGGGAGCTGCTGCCCATCCGTCGAGCAGCGGCGCGTGCTGGAGGTATCAGCAAACGAGGATGCCACTTGGATATGATGTGGGCTCTACAACCTAGAGATGATCCCATATATTTAGCTGGAGGGGCCCTCAAGAGGTATGCTTGGGAAAGGTGGCACACTTCAGAGACGTCTCGGTTCGGGCCTCGTCGTCATAGTGATGCTCTGTCCGCGGGAGCCCTCAGCAAGGCCTTCAATGTTGTCTTGGGCAGGTTGAGTGAGACCGAGGGGAAGTCTTGGCTCAGGAGGATTCGAGGATCTTTTTCTTCCATGCTCTTATGGCTGCAAGAGCCTGGTTGGCCTTGGGAAGGCCCAGCGGTGTTCAAGAGTTTGGGAGGCCAAAGGTTTGTCCTGACTGAGTGCCCGCCGCAGGCTGTAGCAGATGTGTTTGTAGAGTACCTCCGTAGGAAGCTCTGAGGCAGGTACCTCATGCAAACCTCGCGAGGATCAGGGGCCCATCGTCTCTGTGCTGTCTAAGGTTTCCGGCTAGAAGTTGTTGCTCGGACGGCCAAGAAATTTGATGGAGACGGGGCTTACTTGTACAGGCAATTTCTGTCAGGCGCCCTCCTATCTGGTGAAGCGATGTACGCATGGGGTTATGATGTGCCTAGAGTCTCCCCCTCTGCCGAGCCGCGGATGACACCTCCTGGCACAGGGCCTGGGAGTGCGCTTGTCCCGAGGCGGTGGAGAGGAGGCAAGCTTACTTTGGCCACGAGTTTCTTGAGCAAGTCAAGGGAGCAGGGCCTGACTCTTTTTTGTTTGCTCGTGTATGGCCGACGATGCCTGATGTCACCAGCCCAGCCAATCATTGGCTGCTCAAGTTCGTTGGACCCAATGGAGAGGACGCTTGACCTTTCTAGTTTACCACCTCGGAGAAGTTGCACTCCGACGGTTCGTGTTTCCAGGGTGAGAGACCCGAGGTCGCCAGGGCTGGGTTTGGAATTGCTTCCATGACTGACGCGGGAACGGTGCTGCGTGGTAGATTCACCACCCACCAAACCACCCCAACCCAACCCGAAGGCCCTCGATTTCCAGTAGGGGATTGGGGGGTCGGGAAACATCGAAAAAACACATGTGTAACCCTGGTCCCCCCCCCAACCCGAAATTCGGGTCTTCGGGTTGGGTTGGGGTGGTCTGGTAGGTAGTCATATATGGGGTTCGTTGCTCGCGAGCCACCAGCAGTCCTGCAGCGATGCGGAACATTGTGGTCTGGCCGTTGCTATTCTACGTAGGGAAACCTTGATCCCCGACAGTGTTCCACAGGCCATTCGTGTTGACTACAGATGTCTGGTCGTGGGGATGAAGAGCCCCGCGAATGTTCTTTCAGGGAGGTCTCGGTTCAGTTTTTTTTTGTTTGGGGAGAGAGTTGCGAGAGTGTTTGTGAAGGGCCTTGGCCGTCTTTGTCTGAGGTCAAGGCCCACAGGGAATTCAGTAGTGCCACGGACCAAGCTGACTATCTGAATCTTGCTGGCTCCACGATGGCCGGCGAGTTTGCTAAGCGAGGAGCCAGGTTGCACAACATTTCACCAAATGAGTAGCATGCGATAGCTCCGGGCGAAGCTGAGTACCAGAGTCTTGTTGCAGGGGTCCTCCATCTCCTGAAAGTTTGGCCCACTTTCGAAGGCCAGCTTGGGAATGTATCGAGACCCGCTAGGCCCAAAGAGGTCAAGCCACCTGCTTCAGCCCACCTCCCAGTTTGCCATGGGGAGGTCTCGAGGTGTCTCAGGTGTTTGCGAATCATCTCGAGTCGGACCGAGACCTCCTGCCAATCCCCCAACCCCATCCTCTGTGCTCTCCTGCGTGGGGGTGGTGGTGTGGGGCATAAGTTGCATTGGGCAAGGATGGTCGGACCCGACGCGCCGATCATTTGTTGTGTCTTGTGTGGGGGCATGGCGTCGGTGAAGGCCGACAAGCTGCTGCAGCCTTGCACAAATCCGAAGCGGTCATCCGCGAAGTCGAAGCTTCTCCGTGGTGCCGTGCCTGGCTCTTCGGCCAGGTTGGGGCCCTCCTTCCCTCTGGCGGCTTTCCCCATTGCTGGAGGGCCCCTTTCGGATTATGTATAATTCTGTTGTAGGTGTTCGGTGTTCATGGACTGTCATGACACCTTGTTGGGTCTTGTGGGTCTTGTAGGAGGAGAAGGTCGACGAGGAGCAGGATCGGAAACGGTCGACAGAGCGGAAGGACGACGGAGAAGCCCAGAGCTTGCGGCGGCTGCCGCTTCTCGGTCAGCGCCCATTGTGTGTCCGCGGCCCCGGCCGCGCCAGGCCGGCGGCTTGCCCCGCGCCGGCTGTGGCGCGCAGCTGCGGTGCCCCTGGGTGGGTGGGGGGGCCTGGTGTGGGGAGTGGGAGGGTGCTCGTTGGGGGAAGGGGCTCTCCTCCTCCTCCTCCTCCTCCCCAGCCTCCTCCTCCTCCTCTCTCCTCCTCTCTCCTCCTCTCTCCTCCTCCTGCTTCTCCTCCTCTTCCTCCTCAGCCTCCTCTCCCTCGTAAGTTTTGCTGGGTGCGATGTAGCTTGCTCTTTTCTCTGGTGCAGCCTTATACAGCCTCCCTCCTTCTTCTTCTTCTTCTTCTTCTTCTCCTTCTCCCGTCCTCCTCCTGCTCCTCCTCTTCCTTCGCCTCCTCCTTTTCCGCCTCCTCGTGTGGAAGAGGTCCACCACTACGTGCGCCACATGCCTCCATTTGGCGTCGGACGGCGCGCTGTCAGTGCCGAGCTGGCAGGCTGGGATGCCGGCCCGTGCCAGTTGGTCTAGCCCGGCGGGGGGCCAGCCCCCGCGGCCCCGCTGTGCAGCGACGAGCGCTGCCCAGGCGAGGGCGAGGGGAGCCTCTTGGAGACATCTTGGGCCAGCAAGGACCTTCTGGGAAGGGGGGTCGGGGTACGCAGGGGGAGGGGGTAAAGTGTGCCATGCCGAAGCTGCGCAGAGAAGTTGAGAAGACCAAGCGAGCACTCAGTTCACAGCATCAAGCATGCGTTGAAGTCGAGGGACTCCTCGGAGGTGCTGACCTAGCAGAATGCCATCTCCGTCCCTCTCGCATCCAGGGGTAAACCCCTCCCCGAAGAGCCGAAGGGGAAGACGGGGCCGCGGACGAGTAAACAAAGAACTCGTGAGGCCACCCAGCCCAGAGGGCTGGTGGCAGCAGCTACCCCCTTGGGTCTGGACTCGTGGAGGGCGGCGGTCGGGGACGAGGCTGCGCTGTTGCCTGCAGCCCGCGCCTGCTTCAACAGTTTCAAGGTGGTCGAAACCCGGGGAGCGGCTTTGCCGATCGTGCGCGTGGGCAAACGCAAGCGCAGCAGATGGCGCGAACCCGGCCAACGTGGAGAGATCGTCCGCGGCCGCGCGGGAATGTTTGAACTGCGTGTCTGGTGAAGAGCTTCTTCAGTGGCGACCCCAAATCATGGCGTAGCTGAGGAGAGACCATTCTGCGAAAAGGTGTTCGAGTAGTGTGCGAACCGCGTGCCAGGAAACGGTCTGAATCGCGACTGTGGGAGCCATTCCACTGCTCGAGCCCATGCCACGAATCGCTTCCTCGAAGTGCGTATGCAGGCCATGGGGGCAATCGTTGATGGGCCTGTTTTCCACCATTGTCACCATAAGTTGGAGGGGGGAAGATGGTGGAGGATGAGGAGAAATAGTAATAACGATACTAACAATAATATTAAGAGTAATGATACGAAGAAGGCACATAATATTAATAATAACAATAATAATGAGAAGATGAAATAGAAGAGGAGGAGGACGACCCCCTCACCAATCATGTGCGGGTGGTGGTGGTGGTGGAGGAAAACAAGCCCACCAATCGTGTGCGAAGTGCGCCAGATGGAAGTTGCGGTGCAGGACGTGTCGGACGTGGCGCGCGTGTGGAGAGATGGGCGTTTGCTCCACTCCGGGGGCGGTTTGCGGATGGAGGAGGTCAGGCTTTGCAGCGGCGCAGTCGCAAGGGGGGGACGGGGAGGACAGGGGGGAGGAAGAGGAGGAGGAGGAGGAGGAGCAGGAGGAAGAGGAGGAAGGGGAGGAGGAGTAGAAGGAGGAGAAGGAGGAGAAGGAGAAGGAGAAGGAGGAGAAGGAGGAGGAGGAGGAAGAGGAGGAGGAATATTACGAGGAAGGGGAGGTTGAGGAGAAACCAGATGGGTAAGATGAGGAACGGGTCGGGGAGAATAAAGGGACCGAACCAGAGATGGCAACTGGGAGATGTTTTTTATGTGCGTGTGTGAGTGTGTCCCTCTGCTAGCCGCCGACGTAGAAGTGTGTGTGTGTGTATGTGTGTGTGTGCGTATGTGTGTGTGTGTGTATGTGTGTGTATGTATGTGTGTGTGTGTGTGTGTGTGTGCGCGCGCGTGTGTGTGTGTGTGTGTGTGTGTCGAAGGCTTCGTGGTCGTGGTTGCCTCGCTTGAGCTGTGAGTCAGGTGCAATTTGGATGCTTACGAGCATCTCTCGGGATGCCTGTCGAGGGCCTCTTGGAGGGCTCTTGGGGGCATGTGAGGGTTTCGCTCCCTTCGCTCCGCCTCGAGACAGCGGCGGATCACAGCGCGAGGCCCACCTTGGGCCATGGTGCTCAGGCCGCCTCACCTCCTCCTCTGATGACGATGAGGAGGCGCACCCTTTTTCACTCACGTGGCAACGGCGCCTGGATCTCCCGAGGCGCGAGCTCGTGGCCCGGCAGCCTGTCTGCCCGGGCCGCCTGCCCCCCACGTGCTCTTGGCGCCACGCCTTTCCACCGCGCGTCGCGAGCCACGGGGCCCACCTCGAGGGTCCCTGCCCGCACTCGAGGGGGGACCTACCCCTGCCACTGCCCAGCACTCCTGCGCCACGGCGCATGTGTCTTCTCTCCACCCAAGTGGGCGGCCGCACCTCAGCCTCACGAGGCTCCCCCTGCGCGCTGGCCTTCGGCCTGCACGGCCGGGTTGGCTACCCTGCGTCTCGAGCCTCAGAGGCCCTTCGCGGCTGCCACACCTCTCCTCTTCAGACCATGGTCAGGTCCGCGGCTGCCATGCTGCTGGCCACGCCCTGCGCCATGTCCTTCGCCTCGTAGAGGTAGCCCTGGAACGCGTTAGCGCGTCACTGTTCCAGCGCCCCCAGCGCTGCACCAGCGCCGTGTCCTTGAACGCCGCGTACAGCGCGGACGCTCCGCCGATCCGCAGGCTATGGGAGCCGAGATCGTTGGGGTCGACCCCCTCTGCCACGGCCGACTGTATTACCACGCGCTGGACGTTTGCTCGCGTCACGAGCCTTGTGCTGTCGTAGGCGAAGAGCGGGTCGTACATCCTCGCCCCCGAAAACCTCTCTCGCGCCCAGCCCTCGCAGATCGTCAGGGCCTCCACGACGCATCTGTGCCCCTCCTCCGCTGACTCCGCTGTCACCTCGACCTTGCAATGGTTGCGCCGCTCTCCGCGATTGTACTGATCGGTCTTGCTGCTGGCACGGATCTTGATGCCAACCTCGTTCGCCTCGGGCCAGCTCCTGCACGGGTCGCCCGCCGCCTTCGGCGTGACGTCGACTCCCCGCAGACCTTTGCCGCTCTTGTAGCCGTTCTTGTCGCCAGACTTGTACTCGCGGTCCCTCAGCAGGGAGAAGTAGCCCGTTGCCACGGCCGCCCAGAGAGCCGCGCCCTCGCGAGACCTTTCCGGCTGCAGCTTCTTCCGGATCCGCCGCATCATCTTGGGAGTGGCCGGCTTCTTCCGCTTGGCGTCCCCGTCGCGCCTTCTGAGGCCATCGACTGCCATCCGGTCCCTTCCTGCGCCCGCCGTCAAATCGCCCATGCCGAGGCCAGGTGCTGGGCGTTGACAGCACTCAGGCACTGCTTGATGGTGCCCGCCTTCTTGCGCCCGCGCCTGGACCCTGGACAAGTGCGCGACAAACTCCATCAACAGCTCCTCCTCCCTCCGATTCGTGTGCGTGACCTCCCGTAGTGGGCTCATCCCGCGCGCGCGGCAGAAGAGAGACCGCCGCCGTCAGCCCAGGCTGCGCGACTTGATGGTGGAACTCGCCAAATGTCCAGGATGAGCTCCAGCTTGGTCTTCTCCCAGTCCTCACGTGTCTTGAGGTCTGTAAGGATCAGGTCGTGGCGCTTGGCCTTGTCTCGGACAGCTCCCGGCCCGAGCAGGTTTGGCGGCTCGTGCTGCGCCGGGCCCGCGCCCTTGTCCCGGCGCCTCTTCTTCTGGGAGAGAGCTCCTGCCCTGCGCTCCTCTGCCTCGTGCGGCATCTGTGCCGCCAGGGCCCAGTCGAGCCATCTTCCCCTCTGATCGGGGTAGCCCCAGGTCCTGACCGAATTGTCCAGCTGCTCGCGCCTCCGGGTCGATGCTGGCGCCGCCGTCCGGGCCCTGGCCGCTCGGGCTCTCGCCTCTCCCCGAGGCGGGCCCGCGCCCCGGCGCGGCGGGCTTCGAGGCCATCAATGGCCTGGCCTCCCGCCTCCGAGGCTCCCCGGCCCCGGCCGCGCTCGCTCCCCTCTCGATCCTGGTGGCCCCAGCACGCAGGGCTGCCATCCTCGCTGCCTCCTCCTCAGCGCCGCGTGCCGCTCGCGCGTCCGCCGTCGCCCTGGACTCTGCTCCTGGGCCTCGCGTTTCCTCTGTCGGAGGCCTCCCGCTCCCTTCGTGCGGCTGGGCTGCGCCGCCCTCTCCCTCATCCCTTGGTGTGGGCGTTTGGCCCCGGGAGGCTCCGCGGGGCCCCGCGTCTCTCCTCGCCTCTGGCATCGGGATGGGCGCGCGCCCAGCTGCCATCGGAAGGGGTTCGCGCTCGCGTCGGGGGCGCGGCGGCGCAGAGCGGACAGCCCGCTCCGGGGCGGGGGCCCGCCCCCCCTCGCCCGGGGATCTGGGGCGTGACGCCCTGAGCTTTGGCTCCCGCATGTTGGGGAGGGGGGCCCTGTGATGCGGCCGCTGCGCTGCTGCCTACTGCCTGGCGTTCTGCGATCCTGCTCGCCAGGCCCCAACGCTTGCGCCCCAAAGCTGCGCGCTCCCGTCGTCTAGACCCGCCATCCTCTGATTCGGGCTCCTCCATGATGACCGGGGCCGGCCTCCTCGCCCTCGACCTGACACGGGGCTCCACTGATGTTGGGCGCGTCGGTTTCTTGTGCGCCCTCTCCTTGATCGCCGTCGCCTCCGCCCGCGTGCGCTCCGCTTCCTCGCGCTTCCTGTCGGCGAGCGTCTCGGGCGAGGGCGGCGGGCGCTCCTCGCTGTTGCCCTGCTCTGCCGCGCCGACCGCTGCTCGCGCTGAAGTGCCTGCGCCGAGGTCGGCGTCGCTAGTGGGCGGCTCCAGGCCTGGCCGCGGGGCCGCCGCCGTCGCGGCGATCTCCGCGGCGGCCCCCCGCGGGGGCGCCT